TGTCCGCAGTCTGGCCGCTATGATCGGCGGTAATCATCACATGTCCGCTACAATCACTCGCTATAATAACATATACTGATCGTATTATCTGGATATTTATTATTGTAATATGATTGGTTGTCTTTGAATTTTATTTATTAATTATTTGTAAAGCCGTAAAATTTAAATTACTTTTTTACAATTTTTTATGTATTAGTATTTAAATTATCTAAATTAATATAAGTTAGTTTTATAAATAATTAATTGCAATTATGGAACGATGTAGTGATCGGCGGTTTTATACAGAATTATAAAAAGGGTCTGAGTTTTGTGTTGGTTAGAGGGGCCGGACATATGGTGCCCAATAGTAAACCCGATGCGAGATTGCAACTCTTTAAAGGATTACTTGGATTTGTAAAATTGTAATTAATTTATTTTAAAATGTTTTATTTATGTAAATCTGTTAATTAAATATTATCTTGTTGGGTTACTCGTCCATGTGTCTATTATCAAATTATTTGTTACTAATAAAAATTATTTTTAAATAATGTTTTACTTTTAAATAATTAAGTAACAAATAATTAAAAATACTACGATTATAATAAAAAAAAATCTTATCATTTTATTTATTTGCCATATGCTGTATGGTAGTTTTACTTAAGATTAATTTATTATGATAAATAATATGATTGAATTTTTCCTGTATTTTAATCTATTTAAAACGCTTGTGTATTGTTATTATACACACTAATTGTAAGTTAAATATTGATTGGACAAGTACATTTTTAAGATTTACAAAACAATATATTCTTATACCAAATATAATGAAACAATAAAATGTACCACAAAACAATATTTGAATTAATTGCCATGGCCATTATAAATATGGCTAACACTTTAGTACATTTTTGGTACAGTTTTGTCAATAATGTACAATTTTTCAAAAGATAATAATGATTATCGCAACTATTTTATAGATGTACAACATTGCTACCTTTTGACTAATTCACTACTTTTATGAGTCTGAATATTAAATGACTCATCAAGTTTTGGCTCTACATATAAATAAGGCGAACAGAAAAAGGTGAAAAAAGGGGAAATAAGTATATATTAAAGTGTAACTTGAATTTTTCAATAGGTTTGTTAGCTTATGAGTATACTTTTTGTGGTGAAAATACATGAATGACTAATACTGCAATGTATATTAAAACTATGAGTGTTTGCCTTACATATAAATTAAGTTAGTATTATGAAGTTTGCTGCATTAGCAATGATAAAGTTTCAAAGTCGTTTATTTTGTACTTTATACTATTTTAATCATTCAATAAATTGGACCCATAGTCAGACAATATCATACGTTACATACTCAATTATTTATTTAAAAGTAAGTAATTTAATAAAGACAATTGTCTAATCATGTTAAAAACAATATGATCAGGGTTATAGTTACGTACATAATAAGCTAGAATAATAAGAAATTTTAAGATTAACACCAGGAGCATTCGTTGTTACATTATATTGATTAAATTTGCTAAGGCAAATCAAAGTACAATAGTCGCGAAGCATATAAATAACAAGGATACTTAATAAGTAGATCAACAAAAGTTATAGTAACTTTTATTTTTATATAAAGATTATAAATAATATAAATACAAATAGATAATTATAGTTTTTATAATGACTGTAATATTAATTAGTATAGCATTTATGCTAAACGTTTGTCTGGTTTGTAATGCATTGGACGACGAGATTGTGTCACTTCCGGGCCTTTCAAAGCAAATCCAATTCAAACAATATTCCGGTTATTTGAATGCCTCGAAGGGAAGGCATTATTTCTATTGGTTTTTTGAATGTGAAAAAGACCCGCAAAATGCACCGGTAGTCCTATGGCTACAGGGAGGCCCGGGTGGCAGTTCACTGTTTGGTATGTCCACTGAAAACGGACCCTTCAGATTCAATCAAAATGGTAAAACTGTTGAATTGGCCGAACATAGTTGGAATTCAGTGGCAAACGTCTTATACCTGGAGTCGCCGTCGGGAACGGGATTTAGTTATGACGACAATAATAACTATACAAACACTGATGAGTCGACTGCTTTGGATAACTATTTATCTCTCGAAAGTTTTTTCGTAAAATTCCCACAATTTAAGAAAAACGAGTTTTACATCACAGGCGAGAGTTATGCCGGCGTTTATATACCAATGTTAGCCACAAATATATATCAACACAACTCTACAATCAATTTAAAGGGTAATTCAAAGTAAATTTAAATTTTAAAAATAATGTATTTATAAATTGTTATATATACAAATAGGTGTAGCCATAGGGAATGGACTGTTATTAGATAAACAGGGTCAAATAAGTTTTAATCAGTCCAGCTATGACTATGCTTTAGCGCACGGATTGATAACAACGGATGCCTACGAGAAAAAGATTGAGAGTTGCTGTGAGTGTACCGCAGGTGCGGTTCAACACGAGTGCGATTTTAGTAAAGCTATCAGTCCAGCTATGACTATGCTTTAGCGCACGGATTGATAACAACGGATGCCTACGAGAAAAAGATTGAGAGTTGCTGTGAGTGTACCGCAGGTGCGGTTCAACACGAGTGCGATTTTAGTAAAGCACCCAATATAACGTAAATACAATTAAATTTAACTAGCTTATTAAGTATTTTTAAAATTAATAATTAATTATTTAATAAATTAATATATTTACAGCAAGTGCAAGTCAGTACAGGTAGACACTATGCGACTAAACAATCCGTACAATATCTACGACGACTGTCCCTTAGATACCAACGCTCGGCAGGTGTTTGACACGTATTTTAGGCCCGCATTCAAACGGATTGGCATTAATTATAGGCTTAAGCCAAACAACGGGGTAAACGCGGGGCCGGAATGCGTTAAATACGGTACGACTACATACATGAACACCAATGCCGTCCAAAAGGCTCTACATGTGAGACCGGGTAGCAAACGGTGGGCACCTATTGGCGGCCCCTATGATAGGACACACGCCGGGACACCACAGGCGGAAACTGTTAAGCAATTGATAAACACATATAACATACCAAAACTGATTGTATATAACGGAGACTTCGATACGGTTTGCAATTTTATTGGCAATCAGAGGTTTGTGACGGGTCTGGGCTTTCAAACGGCCGGTCATTACAGGTATGCCATGACTTTAGTATTGCATTAATGCTATGTTTTGTAAAAATTACTATAATTGTATGTATTGTTTGTGTGGGACAGGGAGTGGACAGTCGACGGCACCAGTGATGGAGTGATCGGAGGTTTTGTACAGAACTACGAAAAAGGATTAAGTTTTGTGTTGGTTAGAGGGGCCGGACATATGGTGCCGAGCAATAAACCTGAGGCCGGACTGCAACTACTCAAAGGATTGTTGGGATTATCAAAACTATAATTATTTATAAATGTAATAATTTTTTTAAAACAATTTTATATAAATTTTAATATAAGTGACAATAACAACAATTATTAATTGTGTTTCAATTTTTGGATTAATAAAATATAATTGGCTGGTGTTATTAAATATAATCGCGATATTTAAAAATCTTATGTTAATTAAATACATCTATTAAAATATACATTTGGATGTATTGCATTTCAATAGTAAACAACGTACAAAATCACAACCGTTACACAATCAGGGGGTGGGAGGGGTTTGCCATAGGATTTGCTTTACAAACACACCACAACTGCCAGTCATTTGAATGTCATTCATATGAATGCAAATAAAACAACAAATTTTGTCATTGTATGACCGGATCCGACGCGACCTCACCCAACCCGTGACAACCACTCATCGGTAGAGAGAGAGAGAGAGAGAGAGAGAGAGAGAGAGAGTATAATTAGAAAGAGAGAGAGAGAGAGAGAGAGAGAGAGAGAGAGAGAGAGACTAAAACCCAATCATATAAAATTTATTAAATATATATATATTTAAATTTAATTGGCTAAATTGTTTTAGTGTACATATATTTTTATGCAATTAATATTATCAGTACAGTATATGATAGAGTATTACCATATGGTCTTAAGTTCTTACCATATGCATTTACAATCAAATTTTTATTACTAATGTTATAGTTTGTCTATTATTATTATTTTAGAATATTTCACAAGTAATTAAAATATAATGATGAAGCTGATTATTCTGTTGGCAATAATAGGTATGTGTTCTAATTTTTATTTCAAGATAACTTTATTTCATAATTAGAAAGAGAGAGAGAGGGAGAGAGAGAGAGAGAGGGTATTTGTGAATCTACATAATTCCAAACGCTCACAATAACAGACACACCATTTGAGTGCATGAAAGCCACTGTTATTTGTATTTCTTTTAAAAACAATGACAACCGAAGAGAGAGAGAGAGAGAGAGAGAGAGAGATGGTATTTGTGAATCTACATAATGTGAAATTGATTGTATAGGTGTGACATACAGTTCGGTGACTGATGATGAAAATGCATTAGATACAAACTCGCTTAGTTTCGAGCTGTTTGGTTCAAACATAGAATTACCAAGTGAGCCTGCTAAAATTAAGGAGAATTGTAAATCTGAGACCGGATCACGATTAGTACAGTTTGTCACCACTAAATTGTAAGCATATTAATTATTTAACAATTTATTAATAAATATATAAAGTATATTGAATATAAAAATATATAATATTAGTAAAATAAAGGGCAAATTAAGGTAAGTAGGACATTATTTTTTAACTACAATTGAGTTATAAATAATGTGGTTTATAGGATCGTTAGGCGACCCCTCCCCTTTCTGGATTTTATATGGGATTACAGCTTGAGTCTGTGATTATACTATAACATTGGTAATGCTAAACCTATGGGTAATGTTAAGTCTATAGGACTAATGCTAATTCTATGGATAGTGCCAATCATATGCATCACCCGAATTGTGGTTAACGTATAACATCGCTGTGTAATCGTTTTTTTACTTCGAAGGCCAGATCTCTTTCAAATAGTTGGAATAATAGTAGTTATTTGCCATTAGATGTATTGTATTGTCTATTGTACTGACATTTTAAGTACCGACCCTGATGCAAACATTTACTACATTGTATTAAAACTTAATTGAATGTTATATTTAAACAAGGATCACACGCGATGCTATGCGTTAACCACAATTCGGGAAATGCATCAAAGATGTTAAATTTTTCAATACTATTGTTAGAATACTCTTACTATTATTATTTTGAGAATTTTTAAGGTTTTTGACAACAATTTTTGAGAATAATTTGTTCTATTTATTATGGCAGATTCATTTGTAATTCCATTGTCCCATTGATATACCATTACACATGTTATCCATATGCCATAGACTTAACATTACCCATAGAATTAGCATTAGTTCCATAGACTCAGCATTACCCATGTTATCCCTATACCATAGACTTAGCATTGCCCATGTTATTCCTATGCCATAGACTTAGCATTGCCCATGTTACTCCTATGCCATAGACTTAGCATTACCCATAGACTTATCATTGCCATAGACTTAGCATTTCAATTCCTCCACTATTTTATTGTCATTTAATTGATCCATAATTCTTGAGTTCTTAAGTCTCGACGCGTATAATAGGGTTTGTCTTACAGTCAGTCCCGATAACAAGTGTTCACAAACATCCGATTGGATGAAACAAGTCCGAAATCTTCCATATTTCACATAAATATTAGTTTTATTACTTAAACGATTTATATTTTGTCCGTTTAAACACTTTAAAAGTGTTGTCTTTCCCGCACCCGACGGTCCCATCAATGCGTTTAATGAATTGCAAACGAATTCTCCGTTAATATTATCCAAAATTATTAAATTCTCTGTTTTATTAAAAACTCCATTTTCTATGGCATACGATAAACATTTCCACATTATTATTGGTTTGTTAATTGATTGTTTTATACAATTAGTGTTTATAATAGTTGTATTATTATTAATCTCAATAGCGCTGTTATAATAGATCTCGGGCAACTTAATTTTAATTTGATTATATTTAACTTTCAAAATTAATTTCCTGAAATCAACTGAAAGGTTCTTGCAAAAGTGTCATTTATGTTAATTTAAATCCGTTTATTCCTTATTTATCATTGCATTTATGGTTAACTTTATTTCGGTTATTTCTAAAACCCTTAAATACAGATTTAATATAAGGAATTCCCCAGAGCAAGTGTATCCTTGAGAACATCGACCGAAACCATAGATTATCAATAAAATAGAGTTGTATTCGTATTTTAAATAATCAAAATCACTGATGGCTTGAAAAACACGGTTTAGAGAATTGATTCGGAAAAAGAAGTTATTGTAAAGAAGTAATGTTATTAAAGCCAATAAAGACATCATTAAACCAAAGTCTCGATTTCGCCAACATATCAGACAAATGGTTGATGTAATCAATTGATTGCAAAGCAATGTCATGAGAATAGTGTAAAATAATTTATATATTCTGTGACTTTCATTCAAATGATCAGGTTTTATTAAGTAATAATTTTTGTTTTAGTGACTTATTTAATTGTAATCCCTTCAAAGTTGTGTTTCAGCACTGGTTATTATTTGCATACCTAATATGGTTTGATATTATTCATTCATTTTAGAAATATAAGTTTTTATTTATTAATGGTTTAAATGGTTGTTATGAAACTTACAAATTAATTATTTAGATAAAAATAGATAAACTAAACTTACTATTTTTACTTTCAGAAGTAAATATTTTAATATCGTTTGCCAAATTATTTGATATTATTATTATATGAATACATGTGGAAACCAATGTTGAAAAATAAATATAATATTGAACTTGTGTTAAAACAGATTTCGTTTCTTCTAATTCAATACAAGAGTTATTTGAATGAAGATTTGAATGAAAGCATCCGTCAGTTGTGGAAATATCATGACTTAAATTTAAAATAATGAATAAATTTGTGGCAATAAATACGAGTAATTGTTTGCACAATGTTTTCCATTGGGATATATAATAGAAATAGAAAAATCTTGTCAAAAGTATGCAAATGTCGTACATTTTAAAT